GTTGTAAATTGTGATTTATTTTCCTAGAAAGGTTGACTAATCTACCATGTGAAGACTGATCTGTGAGTATGGGTGATTACATGTTTGTCGTTTGTGGGTGTGTATGTAACACTTCAAATTTGAGACTAGTGTTGTCAGTGGGATGGGTGACGTACATGAGCGTACTTGTTTTTGTGTTATGTTCCTTGAAGTGCGTAAAGATACCCTTGTCCAGAGGGAGTTGTCAGTGTTTGCCCGGCAGTGTGTGTGCAAACGACGGAGCTGGGTGAGGAAGGGAAGGAGGAAGAACCAGAGATAGGGAGAGAGCCAGGAACAGCAGGGGAGGAGATAGAAGTGACTCCATTTTGACGCCGAGATTCTGAACCCCTATTTAAACGTCTGTCTGCGACGGAAGGTAGGCTAAGAGCCGGAGGAAATAGATTGTGGCTTTTCTCCCTGCCTTTACCACCGATGTCCCAGGTACAAATGCACCTGTAGTGCAGCCCTATTACTAACTATTGGGCCTGGTTTGCAGTGTGTGTGAATTCTTGTCTTTGTCTGCCACACTTTAAAGGTACGCATAAAGCATCTTTCCTAAACACAAATGAGACGACATACTATGTATATACACCATTGGTAAAGGTTGTTCTACCAGGTCATTGACTTTATACTCAAATATTGGTTTTTCGCACTTGATTTAGAAATGGTCAGACCTTTTGTATGTGCCTGATGACTTCTCGGGCAGGTTTGCCGTCAGTAGGCCACCTGACCGGGTCACAACATGGGACTGCGGTTTCTAAATCAAGTGTGAATTCCTTCCATTCAGGACACGCTGCTGTACAAATCACTTCTGAAGGCGCCTTGTGGACAATGAGTATCTGCAATGATTGAATTCCGGCCCGTGTGCAATCACATGATCAAAAGATAAATATAAATTAGGATTCAGGCCATTCTGATAATATCAGTACCTAACAGACTAAGTGGTCAAGCATAAATGTTTAGCATCCAACTTCATAAAAATAAATACCCAAAGTTTCAGTTTATATACACTGGCCTGCTGTTTCGTAATAAAATAGATCATGACGTTGGGTAAGAGGCACGCTCTTGCTTGTTTAAAAAATATCAGCGGAACAAGCGAGCTGTTCTCTTCAAAGGCATCCCAGAACTTCACAGGGAGCCCAGGGAATGTCCTGTCCCCTTTACAGTTTGTTTTGATGATGTTGCCAAGTGGCTCTCTTTTATTCTACCCTCATCATCCACCCATCCCTCCATCAGATCAAACCTTTCTGTCTCACGTGGGCTTTTTTTTTTTATATAGTGACGCTTTAGTTTTTTGGCATACATGCTAGTAATCTAAGACGCTTCGATATTTAAGGATCCAAGTCTGAGGGAACACTTTGTCTTCTTACAGGAGGCACAGAGAGCTTTTAGAGGAGATTCACACACGTGATCTTCCGTTGTGTGAATGCTTTTGGACCCTCTTTCTTTTCCGGAACTATCTGAGGTACTAAATTAATTGCACTTGATCCCACCTCCCTTCACAATCGGTTTAGTGTTAATCTGGGCTCCGCTCTGGCCCGAGCAGCACGGCTGAGTCCTCCTATCCTCCCCAGAGGACTGCCCCTGGCTCCGGCCATCTCTCCTTCCCTCTCTTGGTCTGTCTATCCTTCACGCCCTGCCCTTTCCCTCGCCCTTTTTTTGTGCTGCCTCGCTCACACCGCACCTCCTCCCCTCTCCCTAATTCTCCCTGGCTTTCCCGCACCACCTCCCTAATTCTCCCTGGCTTTCCCGCACCTCCTCCCCTCTCCCTAATTCTCCCTGGCTTTCCCGCACCTCCCCTCTCTCTAATTCTCCCTCTTTCCCGCACCTCCTCCCCTCTCCCTAATTCTTCCTCACTTTCCCGCACCACCTCCCCTCTCCTTAATTCTCCCTCGCTTTGCAGCACCTCCTCCCCTCTCCCTAATTCTCCATCTCTTTCCCTCACCGCCTCCCCTGTCCTTTATTCGATCTTCTTCTCCCCCTCTTTCTCTTATGTCCCCCTCCCTCTGTCACTCTCTCCCATACCCCTTCCCTTCACCCATATTCTCTCCCTCTCTTCTCTGCCTCCCCCTCCCATACTGAGCTGCAGAGACTACCACATGCTGGCTGCACGGACTCCCCTTGCTCAACCACTGTTTTTTCTCTCTCTCTGTCTTTTTTGCTCTGCCTCTGTTGTGTTTTCTTTGGCACGGTGCCACCGCCTCTGACCATCTGCCTCTTTCTTTCTCGCTTTTCCTTTATTGTTCCCTTTCTCCCGATGTCAACGGTATTATCATAGTGTTTGTCCTTTTTTTTTCTCACTGGGGAATGATTCGATTTTGTCACTCCCCGCTCTCCCCTCGCCCTCCGTGTTCCTCCCTTACACGCTCCCTCTAGCTCTTTCGTTCGCTGTTCCTGACAGCCATTCTATTTTCTCTGTCTCAAATTGAGGTGTGCATGCTATTTAAAGAGGCATGGTGGAACGTGGAAGAGCAGGGGTGTTGACACCGTTTTAGGAACAGGAAGTATCATACGCCCGGATTGCAGCACTAAAGGCCCACCCGCCACAGAGTCAACGTACAGCTACTTCCTACTCGCCGCTGAACACCAGCAAATCAACCCTCCTCTCCTGCTTATAAGATAATTATGCCCCCCCCCTCCTCCCTCACCACTACCCCCACCCTCCCAGCTCTCCTGAACCGAGCACATATACAACAGGCTCTTCACCCCTCCACCAAGTTCTCTCCTCTCTCACTCTCTCTCTTGTGTACAATCTCTCCTTCTCCCTCTCTTTGCCAGTACAGCATGCCTGAGTAGCTGCCTGGAGATGAAGAAGCGAATTAATTTGATTTAGCCGTTCTTTCCTTGGCAGTGGAAAAACCATACCCCCCCCCTTCTCCCTCCTCTTCCTCCCCAACACCACCACCACCACAAACCCTATCAGTCAGCCCTCCCAGATGATTTTCCACCAATCTTTTCTACTCTCTTTTAGAGGCGTTCCCTTTCCTTTCCCCTCGAAGCAAACATGTGTTTTAGGTTTGCTCTCGGTTGTATATTCAATTAAATCACTATCCACTAGTCAGCTCCATATTAAACTAAATCACTATCCACTAGTCACCTCCGTATTAAACTTAATCACTATCCACTAGTCACCTCCATATTAAACTAAATCACTATCCATTAGTCAGCTCCATATTAAACTAAATCACTATCCACTAGTCACCTCCGTATTAAACTAAATCACTATCCACTAGTCAGCTCCGTATTAAACTAAATCACTAGTCAGCTCCGTATTAAACTAAATCACTATCCACTAGTCACCTCCGTATTAAACTAAATCACTATCCACTAGTCACCTCCGTATTAAACTAAATCACTATCCACTAGTCACCTCCGTATTAAACTAAATCACTATCCACTAGTCACCTCCGTATTAAACTAAATCACTATCCACTAGTCACCTCCGTATTAAACTAAATCACTATCCACTAGTCAGCTCCGTATTAAACTAAATCACTATCCACTAGTCAGCTCTGTATTAAACTAAATCACTATCCACTAGTCAGCTCCGTATTAAACTAAATCACTATCCACTAGTCACCTCCGTATTAAACTAAATCACTATCCACTAGTCACCTCCGTATTAAACGAAATCACTATCCATTAGTCACCTCCGTATTAAACTAAATCACTATCCACTAGTCACCTCCGTATTAAACTAAACTAAATCACTATCCACTAGTCACCTCCGTATTAAACTAAACTAAATCACTATCCACTAGTCACCTCCGTATTAAACTAAACTAAATCACTATCCACTAGTCACCTCCGTATTAAACTAAATCACTATCCACTAGTCACCTCCGTATTAAACTAAATCACTATCCACTAGTCACCTCCGTATTAAACTAAATCACTATCCACTAGTCACCTCCGTATTAAACTAAATCACTATCCACTAGTCACCTCCGTATTAAACTAAATCACTATCCACTAGTCACCTCCGTATTAAACTAAATCACTATCCACTAGTCACCTCCGTATTAAACTAAATCACTATCCACTAGTCACCTCCGTATTAAACTAAATCACTATCCACTAGTCACCTCCGTATTAAACTAAATCACTATCCACTAGTCACCTCCGTATTAAACTAAATCCACTAGTCACCTCCGTATTAACTAATCACTATAAACTAAACTAAATCACTATCCACTAGTCACCTCCGTATTAAACTAAACTAAATCACTATCCACTAGTCACCTCCGTATTAAACTAAATCACTATCCACTAGTCACCTCCGTATTAAACTAAATCACTATCCACTAGTCACCTCCGTATTTAACTAAACTAAATCACTATCCACTAGTCATCTCTAGGGGTAGTTTTGGTTCTTGTCCTTCACTAGGCTTCAGCCATGTATTTGACTAGCAGCCTTGAATTCATCTAAATGTAGTAGTAGTCGCCTCGGTATCAGTATCTTGTCCAGTATCAGCCACAGTACTGGCGGTTTCAAGCAGGACTCATGACAGATACTGTAGAGACCGGATTCTATTGAATAAACCGTCAAGCGCTGTTGAATGTATGAGGTCCGCTCACTGTTGAAATCAATTGCACTGTTGAAAATATGTAATACTTTTCAGGTCCTTATTTTTCATTCTTTCTGTCAAACTCGACAATAACCATGATCAATTTAGAGAAAATATATTAATGTTGTGTTTATAGATTGCACAGCAAAACGGCCAAAAGGTCTTTGTTCTTGTACTGTGTTCAACACACACTTTCTTACTACACGTATGACTGCTTTTGTGTGAAGTTGGACACGAGTTTCTAAAACGATATTAATGAATGGTTTTACATTTCAACTCTTTCTAAACTCTTTGACCGAAAGTAGCACTCCATAATGGCTCGGATTTTCCAGCAAGATAGCTCCCTTGGCGCTTCCATCTTTGTGTATTCAGATGTGTGTGTCGCCTGGTAGCACAGCATGAAAAGCTATGATCATGTTTGGGCAAACGCCCATGAATAGGGACGACGGGACTCCCTCTGAATACAGAGTTGGTGGCTGGCTGCTGCTGCTACAAGGTAGTGCAAACACGTGTGGAACTGGTCAGCCACTCTCTGGTAACGTGAGCGTGCACACACACCCCTCACTATAATTACCCCCAACGGCCGCAATTACCCACCCCCCAACTCACACACACCACTTTATGTGAAAAACACACACACTTTCCCTGTCACAAGCACACTCATACTCCGTCACCCACCGACTCGCTCTCTCTCCCATTATGAAAGAGTGTATTGGAGGGGAGAGAAAAGCAACAAAGTTCCTTGAAGAGCCGGAGAGGTTACAGCAGCAACACCCAATCCCAGCACCGTTCCCATGGAGACAAGTGTGCTGGTACACAGTCAGGTCCATAATTATTGGCACCCTTGATAAAGATGAGCAAAAAAGGCTGTATAAAATGCATAATACAAATACTGAGCTATATTGTACGCTCAAAACAATTGTTTTCAATACTCAAGCACCCTCCCCTTGCGAAGATAACGTCACTGAGCATTTTTCTCAAATGTTTTGTGAGATTGGAGAACACGTTGGGAGGGATCTTAGACCATTCCTCCATACAGAATCGTTCCAGATCCTTGATATCCATTGTCTGATCTCTTCAAGTCCGGAGACTGAGATGGCCATTGCAAAATCTTGATTTAGTGGTCAATTAACCATTTCTTTGTGGATTTTGATTAGTGCTTGAGGTTATTGTCTTGCTGGAAGATCCACTTGCAGCCAAGTGTCAGCCTCCTGGCAGAGGCAACCAGGTTTTTGGCTAAATTGTCCTGGTACTTGGTAGAGTTCATGATGCCGTTGACCTTAACAAGGGCCCACAGGACTAGTGGAAGTAAAATAGCCCCATAACATCAAAGATCCATCACCATATTTTACTGTTGGTATTTGTTACTTTTCTGCATATGTTTCTATTTTTCAAAGCCAAACCCACCGCTGGTGTGCATGGCCAAAGAGCCTTGGTTGTCTGACCATAGCACCAGTTCCAATCCAAGTGCCAATACCATTTATCAAACTCCAGAGCCCTAGACTACAAATGTATACTGAACAAAAATATAAACGCAACATGTAAAGTGTTGGTCCCATGTTTCATGAGCTGAAATAAAAGATCCCAGAAATGTTCCATACGCACAAAAAGTTTATTTCCCTCCAAATTTGTGCACAAATTTGTTTACATCCCCATTAGTGAGCATTTCTCCTTTGCCAAGATAATCAATTCACCTGAAAGGTGTGGCATATCAAGAAGCTGATTAAAAAGCATGATCATTACACAGGAGACAATAAAAGGCCACTCTAAAATGTGCAGTTTTATCACACAACACAATGCCACAGATGTCTCAAGTTTTGAGGGAGCGTGCAATTGGCATGCTGACTGTAAGGATGTCCACCAGAGCTGTTGCCAGAGAATTTAATGTTAATTTCTCTACCATAAGCCACCTCCAACGTTGTTTTAGAGAATTTGGTAGTATGTCCAACCGGCCTCACAACCGCAAACCACGTGTAACCACGCCAGCCCAGGACCTCCACATCCAGCTTCTTCACCTGCGGGATCGTCTGAGACCAGCCACCTGGACAGCTGATGAAACTGAGCAATATTTATTTCTCTAATAAAGCCCTTTTGTGGGGAAATACTCATTTTGATTGACTGGGCCTGGCTCCCCAGTGGGTGGGCCTATGCCCATTCATGTGAAATCCATAGATTAGGGCCTAATGAATTTATTTCAATTGACTGATTTCCTTATGTGAATTGTAACTCAGTAAAATTTTTGAAATTGTTGCATGTTGCGTTTTATATCTTGGTTCAGTATAGTTTGAGGAGTTAGCGAGGCAACTTTGGTCAACTCTGAGTTTGGATAATTGGTACCACGAAAGTGGCTCACCTTTTAGCCAGGTACATTTCTATGGCAACAAATCCTTCAGATCTAACCTGCTCCGGGGCAGGCTAATTCATGGCTAACTGCATTTATCCTAAATGAGTGTCTGACGCCGTGTGCACACCGGTTGCATCATTACATTGCTGTATGATACATTTGACGTAGTCTTTGCAATCCATGCGCCGCATCACAACAAAAATAATCATGCTACACATGAGCAACTTTGGTGGTTTATCTACTTACGTTCCTGATACCGCATGGCAAAGCAACGTACAACTTAGAGAAATCCAACGAATGTGACACACTGCACACAGTGCCACACACTGCAATGTAGTTCGGCAGATGAGTCACGGCAGTGCGGATTGCCTCTCATTGAAATGAATGGACTTCCGCCGGAACGCATACTGTTTGACACAACCGGTGTACACGAGGCTTGAGCCGCAAGTTGAGTTTGTATGACTTAATACAATACTTTTATCAGTAAGAGTGGGAGAAAGGTGCTTCTGCATCGATAAGCACACCAAAGTAATAAAATAAAGACTGCACTTGTAAATGTTCATTTTACACGATAGCCTGCTGACTGCTGAATTTGCAAGATAACTTTTCTTTCATTCTGATTTCAGCATAAATGAAAATGTGGTACTGACTTGTCCACGCGCAGTTACAAGCCTGCTAGAGTTAGCGGCAGGCGGACAAGCAACATCCACCATCGGTTGAAGCCTGAGCTGGAATGTGAAGCAAACTGAAGCTGGTTAGCTTTAGAAAACCCTGAGTAGATCTAGCTTGCTTCGTAGTATAAACCTCAGGCGGTGCTATGGTCAGATGACATGAAAATAGAGCTCTTTGGCCATGCACACAAAGTGGTGGGTTTGGCATCGGAAAAAACAGAAGCGTATGCAGAAAAGTATCTCATACCAACGGTAAAATATGGTGGTGGATCTTTGATGTTATGGGGCTATTTTGCTTCCACTAGACGTGGGGCCCTTGTTAAAGACATGCTCCTGAACTTTGGCAACTGCTAAGTATTTTTTTTACCTCCCGCTTTGGGCTGGATGTGTCAATGTGTCGTTCATAATAATACAAATAAAATGTATGCACTCACTAACTGTAAGTCGCTCTGGATAAGAGCGTCTGCTAAATGACTAAAATGTAATAATCTATGAGCAGAATTACTGTCTTACTGCAATTAGCCACGAAATCCCTAGTTTGAAAGCAACTGTTTTTCTGGAAGCTGTGTGTGCCATTTTCCCTAAATTTCCCCCACATGTGCCAGCCCCCTAGCAATTCGAGTTCGGGCGGCTGGTAGCTTAGTGGGTAAGAGCGTTGTGCCAGTAACCGAAAGGTCGCTGGTTCTAATCCCAGAGCCGACTAGGTGAAAAATCTGTCGATGTGCCCTTGAGCAAGGCACTTAACCCTAATTGCTCCTGTAAGTCGCTCTGGATAAGAGCGTCTGCTAAATGTCAAAAAATGAAAAATGAAAAAACAATAACCCAAAATCCACAAAGAAATGGTTGACTGACCACAAAAAAGATTTTGCAATGGCCATCAGTCTCCAGACTTGAACCCCATTGAAAACCCGTGGTTTGAATTGAAGAGGGAAGTCCATAAGCGCAGAGGAAGGATATCAAGGATCTGGAAAGATTCTAAATGGAGGAATGGTCTAAGATCCCTCCTAATGTGTTCTCCAATCTCAGAAAACATTTGAGAAAAAGGCTCAGTGTCGTTATCCTTGCAAGGGTAGGGTCCTGGAGGACTGAAAACAGGGTTGCCAATAATTGAACAATAATTACTAGTTAAAGAAAATGTATTTTTCTGAGCAATTCTATTAGTATAAAATAATCTAAGTTTCCCAAAAATTGGAGCATGCAATAAAGCTCTCGCTCTCTCTCTATTTCTGTGTGACTTTGTCGAACCAGGGACGTATTCACAAATGCACACCGTAGCAAAACGTTTTGCAACGGAAATGAGTTTATTGTTGGACAAGTTGAGGTAGCCCCTCCTCGCTTCCTTTTCTTCCGTTTGGTTTCTAGTGAATGTTTCGAAGACGTTCTGACAACGACAAGGGAAGATGTTATCATTTTGAAATAAACAAACACGGCAAGGCCACGCATATGTATTTTGACTGTCAGTCAACCAATCAATCATACAGCAGAGCAGGGTGGAGTTGGCCTTAGGGTCACACACACTCACGCAGTGAACCTCAAACACACACCTGACTTTTTCGTCATCGTTCATCCCCATAAACTTGAACCCTTTTAACAGAGGCAATAAAAACAGAGACATCATGTCCCTGTCATACTCTCTCTCTCTCTCTCTCTCTCTCTCTCTCTCTCTCTCTCTCTCTTTGATTTCTGCTCCCCTCTTTCCGACAACTTCACTTCCATCGGCCATCCAACTATTGTCTGTAGTCTCTCTCTCTTTCTCCCCCCTCTCTTTCTTTCTCTCTCTCTATCCTAGTGCCCAGGTTTTTTTTGTTGTTGTTGGCATCGCTCCTGTTTGTTTTCAGCCATTTTGGGGACTGGCAGTGCTCGTAACAAACTGCTTAAATGGCGTCCTCTGCCTTTCTCTCTCTCTCTCTCTCTCCCTCCCTATCTCGCCGGGCTTTGTGTATGTAAAGTAGTGTGCGTGTGGTTGGAGAACAACACTTCCAAATAAAAAGAGGATTGGATTCGGGGGGGGGGGGGGGGGGCCTGAGGCTGGGGCGGGGAGAATAGAACGGGGTGAAGAAATTCACTTGCTAAAATACTGAGAATCATGTGCAAAACTGAAGTGAGAGAGAGAGTGGAGCAGGCGAGGGGAAGAGAGCGAGAGAGAGAGACCGAGTGAGACAGAGTGTGAGAGTCGCTCCTACCCTCTGTCTTTACACACTGCTGCCTGTGTGTGCGCGTCGTCTCTCCCTGCCTGCACTCTCTCACACACACACACTCACGCAGACGCACGCTCACACAGACCGAGGGAGAGAGCGGATAGAGCGAGCAAGAGAGAGAGGAGGGAGAACACATCGCAGCAAGATGCAGCAGGAGGTTTTCCGAGGTACGTTGTCTTGTTGTGTGCTTGCCTAGCAGTGAAAGGGAGGCTGATATCTTTATTTTTCGTCTGCTTGTTTTTCTCAGTCGCGCCATCGCCTGGTTGTTTTGTATGTCAGTGTGTGTAAGTGTTGGTGTCTGTGTACTACGTGTGTGTACTGTGTGTGTATACTGTGTGTGTACTGTGTGTGTGTGTGGGGCCGATAAGAGGCCTTGTCTCCCTCATCCTCCCCGGTCTCGCTGGTGCACCACGCAGTTCTTTTTCAGGAGCGATGACTCGTTCAGAGATTGTGATGAAACTTCAAAAATCTCTGTGTCTTCTGCATCTGCATGAAACACTCCAGATCGGGGGTCTAGCTAGCGTGTGTCAGAGCTAGGCGGTAGACGTGGGCATGACATGGGCTTTGTATTTTAGGGAAACCTTTTTTCACTGTGACTGGTCAGCCAATCTTTCTCCATCAACTGAACTCCCAAAACGACACAAGGAGTTGGTGAGAAACTGGCACATACACGTCCCTGATAGCGGATCTAGCGCCGAGGTTAAGCTATTCTCGTCTCTCCTGTCTGTTCTTTGGTGTGTCATCAAAATATCCTCCTCCTAGTGCCAGGTTGTTATTTTGGAAGCAGAAGGAGGTTCTTGCTAAGCCTTGGAGGGCATTTTGACGTCACAGCCCCATTGTTGTTTTCCTTACCAACCCTGCTTCCTTACCAGTCCCTCTGCCAAATATGTCCACATTCCTGGTCACCATGGCCACCAAGCCTCTGCCTTCACTGTATGGGAAATATGACCCACAGGGCTTTAGGGGTCAGAGGTCAGGAGTTATAGGGAGCCTCGTTGCTTAGCGCCAGTGGCAGTAGATTAATTTCCAGCTAAGGGTTTTCTGTTTGACTTGTTGTTTGTTTACTGTCTAGACTATGTCAATGGCATCCAGTGGAAGACTTGAAAACCCTGGCAATGTTGGTTTTGCGTACAATTTCCACTTAAGCCATTCCAATTGTCCAATTCTGAAATTGAGATTTCAGCATTCAACGTTTCGCATAAATCTCTTGTTGATATGAATGATTTACGCAAAAGTATGATTTGGCCAGAAGTTTGAGTTATGATTTGGCCAGAAGTTTGAGTTATGATTTGGCCAGAAGTTTGAGCGTCTATAAAGTCAGGATTTGGCCCTTTGCTGGGTGATGCCCTCTAGTTGTACAGTTGAGATTTTTTTATTTTATTTTTATTTTACCTTTATTTAACTAGGCAAGTCAGTTAAGAACAAATTCTTATTTACAATGACGGCCTACACCGGCCAAACCCGGACGACGCTGGGCCAATTGTGCGCCGCCCTATGGGACTCCCAATCACGGCCGGTTGTGATACAACCTGGAATCGAACCAAGGGGTCTGTAGTGACGCCTCAAGCACTGAGATGCAGTGCCTTAGACCGCTGCGCCACTCGGGAGAAATTAAGAGAGCAGAAGACAAAATTCCGTTGTTCGCTGTAACTATGGACAATAAAGTTGTATTGTTTTACGCTGCACACACCTAACAGACCTGCACTGTATCTTCAGAAGGACAGTGTGCAAAACTGAAAATGGTTTTGGGAAAATTACCCCAAAAAGGTCAGTGGTGTAGTGTTTCCACTCTCTCTCGTCTCAAGGTACTTTTTTGGGTCGTCCCGTCCTCCCTAATGCTCCCATGATTCTATTACAGGGGTCAGAATTCTGGTAATTATGTGCCGTGTTCAGAGCTAACGGACCATGGAGTGTGGCATTTTAACATGGGGCAGGCTCGCTGGTGCGTGGAGTGGCATGCCAAATTGTAGCGATACCATAGGTCACACTGAGGGAGGGGTGGGGGGAGAGGGCCATGTTGACACGCTGAGCAGGATCTGAAAGACAAGGAAACCATGAAATATGGACAAGGAAGAGATGTGTTTGAAGTTACACTACCCACCCCTCCTCTCTCCACCCACCACTCCTCTGAACCACTCCCCGACCCATACCAACCTCCATTCCTCCCCTCCTCTTCTCCTCCTCCTCCCTCTGCCCCATCTGGCTGGCTCCTCCGTTTTTTCTGGGCCGGGGGGTTGTGGAGAGTTCAGTGTCTCTCCCTCTCTCTGTCTCCAACGACAGCCCCCTTTTCACGGCCCAACTGGTGCCCCCTTCGCTGGCCGTTCCACACTGGGGAGAGCCCAACCAACACCTTCCTATTTCCACAACCCCTCTCCACTCGCTCACAGTGCGGAACGGGTAAACCCCCCTCCCCCCCACACACTCCAATCCGGCCCCCCACATTTCCCCCTCGAGTGCTGGCTGAAACCCACCCACCAGTCTCTTGCAGTAACTAGTCTATGGCTGGGCTGTACATATAAAGGAGATCAGAGCCATTGCATACTAACTGATTAGGACTTGAGGTACTTTTAATAGTAGCATGGTCACTGTGACCCGAGTGTAGCATTAATGTTTTTCTTCTCTCACAAATTTCCTCTTGCTGACATTGTGATTCTGCCTAGTGTTCTTCTACGTAGCTTAGTGAGTCATTTGTGTCACACGAACCGTACCTGCACTTGCTGTTCTGTTTTTTAGTGTTTTTGTTTTTTTCAGCACCGTGGGTGCAAATAGATGTACAATCCTTCAGCGGACATGTTTGTTTGTGCAGAACACTGTGCTTCAGAAGGGCACTTTATTTTGAGGGGGCGAGGCTGGGTCCTTGGCACTCTGAGGGTCAGACGCTTGCTTGCGTGTGTGTGAGGGGGGAGGGTGTGGGTGCATGCGCGTGAGTGGTGCGTGATTGTGTGTGTAAAGCCGCCCCCCCCCCACCCCCCACCCCACCGCACCGCACCGTCACGCTTGGCCAGTCCGTTGTTCAGGGCCTGTTTGTGGAGAGGCAGTTGTGTGCGTCACAGCAAGATGAAGAGAGAGAGGGGGCGGCAGATGCATTTTCCTGTTTGCAGCGCAAACACCAGATGAAATCGTGACATTTTTTTGCCCTCACGCTGTCTCACGTTGTGTCCGCCTACGAGTAACTGGCGTCTAAATTACATTTTTTTGTCATTTAGCAGACACTCTCATCCGGAGCAACTTGCAGTAGTGAGTGCATAAATTTTTTGTACTTGTCCTCCATGGGAATCGAACCCACAACCCTGGTTTTGCAAGCACAATGCTCTACCAACTGAGCCACAGGGGACTAATATCACAGTAAACATCCACGTAATTCTCAAGAAGACACATCTACTTTAAAGGGATACTTGGCTATTTTGGCAATGAGGCCCTTTATCTACTTCCCCAGAGTCAGGTGAACTTGTGGATACCATTTTGATGTCTCTGTGTCCATTATGAAGGACGTTAAGCCCTATTTGGACGGGATAAGTTTTACTGGGGGAGCTCAGCTAATGTAAACATGTGCACAAGCACAAATCACTTGGCATTAATTTATTATTCCAGCCCTAAAAACCTACTGTTTTTCGGCAAACTCCCAGGTCCTCTGATAATACTTATCCCCTGCGAATCGTCATCCCTGTGTTTTGAGGGACATTACAGAGTTTAACAGGTGCTGCACCCAGTTTGGATAAGAACATGGTAACAAATTGATGCTTAAAACAAAGTGCTATGCACGTAGCATACAGATGAATTAACTGTTTTGTTACGTATCAACTTTCCTAGTGCAATACTTCTCTTTTTAAAAGATGAAGTGGACGATATTGTGCCAATTAATTGATAAATTGCCAAATACGTCAGGTAATTAAATGTCTGCATAGCTTACAGTTCATGGTTCTTATTGATATGCATTATTATTTTGACTTTCTCTGAACTGAAGGTCATTAGGCCAATATTAGGTTATCCCTAGACGTTTGAAATATCTTCACGCCTAGAAGAGCCTCCAGGCTTCCGTCATAATGGTCCATTTTGAATGAGAAAAAAAAAGAATTACAGGGGCAGTTTGGTCAAACTAATCCCGTCCGAATCGTCCACTGGAAAAACTGACATGCTGGGGTAATAATTACATAACCGACGTTCTATAGTAATACTAGTCCCGTGCGAATAGGGCTATAGAGGTAGGTTGCCAAAATCCCAATGTATCCCTTTAACTATGTACACACTTCCTGATAATCTGCATAGTCACTGTGTTTGCCTGTATATCTGGGTAAATAAAGAGCAATTGGGTCTAGCGGTGTAGTTGTGCGACTTTACTGTAATAATAATAAATATGCCATTTAGCAGACGCTTTTATCCAAAGCGACTTACAGTCATGTGTGCATACATTTTTACGTATGGGTGGTCCCGGGGATCGAACCCACTACCCTGGCGTTACAAGCGCCATGCTCTACCAATAGAGCTACAGAGGACTGTGTGTTTCGTTGTGTATCATTTTACCCTATTTCACTGTGTAGGTGGCATGTCCCTTTCCCTCTTTATGTCCACTTTCTTCAAAGCTCCTCTTATTCTGTTCTGTAATTCAGTTCATTCCACCTATACAGACGCTCTGCTCCCCTGCTTCACCCCGTTGTTTTGCATATAGTTTTACAAGCAAGGCCATCCATGACATCAGTAGTTTGTTTTTGTGGCCGTGGGTGCTTGCCAGTGCCTGTATATATGACTGCATGCATTTATGCCCATGGGGGTGTGTTTGTGTCTGTCTGCCTGTGCTCTGTCTGCCTTTCTGTCAGCCTGTGTTCCTGTTTCCAGCCTGGCCCTCTCTCTCGCTCTCTCTCTCTCTCTCTCTCTCTCTCTCCTCTCCTCTCCCTCTCCCTCTCCCTCTCTCTCTCTCTCTCTCTCTCTCTCTCTCTCTTCCCTCTGCAATAACAGTGCTGACCTAGTTTCTGCCTGTTCAGGGCTGCCTGTGGAATTTTACAGAGGCCTTGCTGCTCGACAACACAAGCAGAAAAGCATGACTGTGGATTTTTCTTTTTGTCGCATCATTAAGGCTTCAACATCCATCTCCCCCTATCTGCAGACCCCACAGAACGGCCTGTGCTAAATAAGTAATTACAATAAAATTGCCTATTGCAGGCGAATCTGCGAGCTTGCGTGTATGAATAGATAGCAGGCGAGTGGATCTGCCGCAATCGCTGCTCGAATTAGAATGGAAATGGGAAGCGCCCCGTCGATCTTCGCTCATCCTCTCGAGCTTAGCTGCGACAGAACCGGATGCAGCGGGCGGAAAAACACCCCTCCTCCACAATCCTCCCCTACCCTGCCTCCCTGCCTCCCTCCCTGGCTTCCACTTTCCTTCCCTCCCTCTCTGCCTCCCTCCCTTCACAAATAATGGTTAGATTCATGGCCGGCAGATTCTGACCACTACCAGGAATGGGGCAGCAGGCTGTGATGAGAATCACCCCCCTTTTCCCCCACCATGTCTGTTTAAACGGGACCTATTTGTTTTAAGTCCGCAGGGCTATGGGATGCAAGTCAACACTCTATTCTGGGGGAATCTTGATTAAATCTTGATTAAATCTGAACGCCTTCCAATTAGGCGACATGAATGTTGTGACACAGCCTAGATGGATCGCTGGAATTTCTTTCCAGTCTCTGCGTGCTGAAATCTAAACCAGCACTGCCACATATTCCTTCCTCTTGCTCTCTTTCCCTCCTCTCGCCATTCCTTTTTGGATTTTAACATCAGTTGACGTTTGTTGCGCTCTGAAGCATCTTTAAACATTTTCTTAGCATCATTTCCTTAGCATAATTTCCTTAGCATCATGAAGGATTCTTTTTTGGATAGGAAAGGGTCTAGTTTTTCTGGTATTATACATTCAAATTTAGCACTTATCCACAGCGACTTACAAAACACGCATGCAAGGATCCATTCAAGCTGTAACACTCATCTCTTCTTGTCGTTTCTCAGGTTTTGGGGGCCGGTCATGGTGTCCTGGCTGGAGGTGTCGGACCCCCTCCACGCAGGCCTCTTCCTGCCGCGCCTGAACAAGCAGCGCCTGCCCGCCGGGCCTGCCCTCTTCTGTGACGTCAACCTCATCGCCACCAGCAACGCCAAGTTCGCTGCCTGCAGCCAGTACTTCCGCCAGCTGCTGCTGTCGACGTCTTCCCTACTGCCTACGACTCCTGTATTAGACTGACGCCATCCGCCATCCGCCATCTACCCCCTCTTCCGGGCTCATCCAGGGGGCTGAGCTGGACCTGGAGCTGCCTAACCTCCTGTCCAGTGTGCTATCCAACCTGCTCGACTTCATCTACTCCTCCCGCGTCGCCCGCTAGGGCTCCAAGGGGACCAGGCGTCTGTCGGAGGCGGGCCTCAGCCTCGGGGTGCCCATCTTGACCCACCTGGTTGAGGAAGAAGAGGAGGAGGAACCAGGGCAGATGAAGGGTAAAAGCAGGCAGGGCCGAGGAGGGGAGGCCATGATGGAGGGGCTGATGAATGACGAGGCAGACGGCCCCGAGAACGCTAAGATCACCCTCAGCTTCCCCCTCAGCGCTGCCCTGCCCGCTGCCCTCACCGTTCACAACCACCGCTCCTCCTCAGCCACATCCTACCCCTGCCGCCGACACCCCTCCTCAGCCACCAAGGGGTCCAACGAGGGGTCAGCGTGGAAACTGGATGCCACCACCACGGACAAACGGCCGCCCTTTAAGCCCCCCCAGCGGGACAGCTCCCCGTCCTCTTCCTCCGCCTCCTCTTCCCCTTCCTCTCCCATGGATCTTACCGAAAAGGACATCAAATCTCCCCCGCCTCTTTTCAAAGCAGGTCTGGACTCCCAGTTCCACAGGTTCCCCCCCAGGTCCTCCAATGGGCCTATAGGGTGTTACCCAGGGGAGGGTCACAGACTGACCAATGGCACGGCCTCACCCTCAAAGACTGCACAGATCCTGTTCAACCTGAGCACTGTGGCTTATCGGGGCCAGGGGGGGCGGGGCACAGAAAGAAAGGAGAAAACAGGAAAAAAAGGAGGGAGGGTGGGCAGCCCCCAAGTTGGAACAAACCTACACCCGCCCACCCTCCACCTTTCTCCACCCTCTTCCTCACCCCTCGTCCTCTTTCACTCTTCCTCCTCACTCCTCCTCCACCCTCCCAGATGGCCCCAAGCCGGAACTGATATGTGGGGTGTGCCACCGCCTCTTCAGCTCCGCCTCGTCTCTCACGGCCCACATGCGGCTGCACCGTGGCGGCCGGGCCCTCAGCTGTCAGCACTGTGGCAAAGCCTTCATCCATAACAAAAGACTGCAGTCCCACGAGGCCTCCTGCACGCACTTTCTGAGCCCAGCCCTCCCATCTAACATCCCCCTTCTCCCCATCCTTCCGAAAGAGGAGCCCCTGGAGGAGGGGGAGGTTAGGGTGGAGGGAGGACAGATTCTGGGGGCAAGTGAGGAGGATATGAAGCCTGGCAAAGGGAAAAAAGGGCGAGGTCTCCTGGTTCGGCACGAAGGCGACGTGTCAGAGCTGGTGGGGGACGAGGACCACTTCGTCAAGGTGGTGGACGGCCATGTCATCTACTTCTGCTCGGTGTGCGAGCGCTCCTACATGACCCTGTCCAGCCTCAAGCGTCACTCCAACGTGCACTCATGGCGCCGCAAGTACCCCTGCCACTTCTGCGACAAGGTGTTCGCCCTGGCTGAGTACCGCACCAAGCATGAGGTGTGGCACACGGGCGAGCGCCGCTACCAATGCATCTTCTGCTGGGAGGCCTTCGCCACCTACTACAACCTGAAGACCCACCAGAAGGCTTTCCATGGCATCAGCCCGGACCTCATTTCCAGCGAAAAGACAGCCAATGGTGGTTACAAGCAGAAGGTCAACGCCCTCAAGTTCTACCGCCTGCTCCCCATGCGTTCCCAGAAGAGGCCCTACAAGACCTACAGCGACTCCCTGGCCAACGGCCTGCTGCTGCCCCCGTCTGACCTCTCTGCCGTCCCCCTGCCTCAGCCCCTGGACTGCAGCCTGCCTGACTCCCTGGACCCCAGTGGCCTTCACAGCCTCATCAGTTGCTCTCTACCCAAGGGTGTGAAGCCTGACCCTGACGAGATCCCTGCCGGCTTCCCCCTCACAGTGGGCCTTGAGCAGGGAGAGATCCCCACACTGCCCCCCTCTCTAACAGGCATGGCCTTAGGGAGAGTAGCTGACAGAGAGGCAGAGTCAGAGCATGTAGGTAGCTGTGGCAGCAGCTCCAAGGCATCCGTTCGTAACAAAGTCAAAACTCCCAAGGTCAGCGGTAGCCCAGAGTTGGGTTTGTCCTCTGTCATTACATACGGCCACTCAAAGCCTTCCGTCATAGTGCACGGCACAGCGGCGTCATCCGTCATTGTCCATAGCAACCAGGTCACCTCTGGGGCCGGGAAAAGCCCCCTGAGCAGCCCCTCCCCTGAAGCTAGCAACAGCCAGACACTCCCCAAGGTCAGTGCAAAGCCTGTTAAAATTCACAGGGAAAGTACGGAGAGCCATAGGAAGAGAGCTAAATTAGTGGACAGTTCAGGCGCCACAGAGGAGTCGGAGAGGAGATCAGAAACAGGTAGGTCCCATCATAAGTCCCGCAAGGGGCACAGCAAGAGTGACAGCTCCTCAGCCAAACAGTCGTCCACAGGGACAGAGGGCAAAGGGGCTGGGCCGCTGTGCCAGATCACGGTGCGGATAGGCGAGGAGGCCATGGTCAAACGCAGCATCTCCGAAACTGACCTCAAGAGGGACAGGAGCCCCGCTCCTTCCAGAACCAAAAGGACGGAATCCTCCCCACAGGACGCCAAGGAACCTCGCCACTCCCACCACCACCATCATCACCACAAACACCGCTCCCATCGCAGCTCTAGCATCGAAGCTGAGGGGGAGAGAGGAGGAGATGGGGAGAGAGAAAATGGAGAGGGGGACAGCCGGAAGAAAAGCCCCAAAGCCCCGGGCAAGGTCAGAGAGTACTACTTCCGCCAGGAGGTGCGCAAGCAGTGGGAGAGTGAGGACGATGAGGACAACCTCTGGAGGCCCTACTACTCATACAAGCCCAAGAGGAAGGCCCCTCATGCCCACAAAGCAAAGAACTGGCAACGCAAACTCCGCTACAAACGCTCCCTCCGGCTGATGAGGAGGGCAGAGAGACTCATGGACCATGTGAACAAGGAGGCGGAGGACCAAGAGGAGGAGGATGGAAAGATGGATGAGGTGGAGCAGGGTGAGGGGGAGGTGAAAGATCACATGGAGGAGGGAGAGGTACCTGAATCCCTCAGTACTTCCTCTATACCTTCAAAAGAGAAGGACAAAGAGGGGGAGGAAGAAATCGGGGAAGCCCACCTTAAGCCCACTGATCCTCCCCTGGTCTCTCCCCAGCCCCCATTGTCTACCTCAGTCTCCCCTATGGACACAAAACGCCGGTCCCTGGTCCGATGGGAGTGCGTCGGAGTGCGATACATGCGGCCGCTGGTTCTCCAGTTCCAGGAAGCGGGATAAACACGAGCTTTGCCACTTGCTAGAGTTTGTGTGCCTCCTCTGTAGGGCCCCCTTCCCTTCCAGAGACCAGCTAGAGGACCACCAGAGAGCCCAACACCCCAAAGCCCCCGACCCCTCGTCTGTGCCATCCCGAGCAGGGTCTCAGTCACGAGATGAGGGCATGGAGACGGAGATTGAGTTAACAGAGGTAGACAGGGCAAGAGAGAGGCTTATACTAGGGAAGGGAAGTCCAAGTCGCCTAAGCAGGAGGTCGTTGGCGAGACACACCTGTCCGCAGTGCCATAAGGTGTGCAAGACATCCTCAGCGCTAAACCGCCACATTAGGCGCCACGAGTTAAGCAGCTCCCCGGAAAGAGAAAGGGAGGAGACGCAGACAGAGCCAAAAGCAGCAGCAGAGACAACAGTTAGCACTGTTAGCAAAGACGTAGATACCACGAGTGACCATGTTCCCGGTGTTCAGTCTGTCCCAGTTATCAGCTACCCTATCCCAGAGCCACAGCATAGTAGCGAGGGCATAGAGCCGCTGCAGTGCGCGAGCCAGCCTAGCGAAGTGAAAGCAAAGCACCAAACTCCAACACTGTGCAGCGACCCTGAACACAAAGAACTTAATGAACTCACAACTCCCATTCCTGACAGAGAGCCCAGTCCACAGATTATTCAGCCCCCTCCAGAGATCCCCATGGCCGCTATCCCCACAGCCGACCGGCCCACACCATCTCCCTCCTTCTGTTGCTCCTCGGCCCTCCAGGGCGTGCTGGTCATGAGCAGCGGAGCTGAATGTTTGGACTACCGGACCCCCAGGAAGAGGAGTCTGGAGGGGCAGGACCACAGGAGGACCAGCCCTGCACCTGTCACAGGAACACCCACCGCTTCTCCAAATATGCCCCCGACCTTGCAGATGAGAATCAGCCATACTGCTGCTCCTCCGTCCGTTGCCATGACAACAGTGCCCCTCCAAGGGGTCTGTGGCGTGAAACAGGAGAGGGATATTGTTGGAAAAGGACTGAGGCAGGGATGTGGGATGGGCCTCCTCCATCATGCTGGTTTTAAGGACTCACCAGTGGCCCAAGATCTCAGGGTCCCGCCCTTGTCCAGGAGCCCCAGTCCCAACCAAGCACAAGACCTGACCATGTCCTCGATTCTAGCCAGGGAGAGGGAGGTGGAGAGGGAAAGGCAGAGAGAATGGGAGAGGGAGATGAAGAGAGAGCTGGAAAGGGAACAGGATATGGAGAGAGAGTTGGAAAGGGGGAGGCAGAGGGAAAGGGATATGGACAGAGAGCTGGGAAGGAGGAAGCAGAGGGAGAGGGAGATGGACAGAGAGCTGGGAAGGGAGAGGCAGAGAGAAAGGGTGATGGAGAGGGCTCAGCAGTCTAGGGGAGCATCACTACACGAGCAGCCCAGAGACATGGAGGGGACCCTCCTGGTACCCAAAGAGGAGCCAATTAGTCCCGCACCGTCCCCGATACACACACCCATTCAAACTACTATTAACAGCCCACCCTTGCAGAGGCGGCCCTCCAAGTCCCCTCGCCGCTCCCCCACTGCCATGGACCTGCTGATGCAGGCCAACCGACAGGCTGCCCAGTCCCTGCATGGCACACAGGGCCTTGAGAGGTTTCAGTTGCCCACTGGGTCGGTTAGTTGCAGCGACCGCCCCTCGGCCCATGCCCTGCTGCTCCCCCGGGCCCCCCCGCCATCTGAGGAAGAGGCCCTGGACCACTCCCCAGCGCCATCCAGAGACCCTCATAGAGGGGAGGTCACCACCAGGGGATACCCTATGCAGGACTACCCCCTGCCCCTCATCGTCCAGGGCGGCTACCGCTCTGGCAAGAAGCAGGAGGACAACCTGCTCATGTCCTACCCGACGGGGCCTCTCGCCTTCGGGCCGCTGGGGAAGATGGTGCCTACCGGGGATCTTGCCAAACTGCCGTTCTACCCCGACCCCTACCACCTGCTCTACGGGCCGCAGCTGCTGGCCTACCCCTACAACCTGGCCACCTTGCCCATGGCTCTAAACATGATGGCCCCCGGGGGGGACAAGGTGGAGCCGCTGCCCTTCCTTCCCGCCCTCTTCAACTACGCTGCTGCAGCTGGTCCCTACGCTGGCATGGCACCACACCACCTAGTGGGCAACCCCAGCCTCTACAACAGCAGCGGCGGCAGCAGCAAGAAACAGCGGGACAACAGCAACGGAAAGTTGTAGAAGGTGTATAAAAAAACGACATCTGAGGAATATTTCAAAGCGGACGACCAGTCTGGAGAAGGAAGGGTGGCATCGGCTCCTTTGTTCTGAGTACACTTGCACAGTCCCCTGCCTCTCTTTTGTAAAGTTGCGATCAGAGCCTAAGCGTTGAATCAGGAGAAGGGATGATGGGAAGAGGGGGAGTGAAGGAAAGGGGAGGAGAAACGAAATGACAGATCCCCCTTTCCTCTGGCTGTCCCCATTCACCTCTGGTTTCTGTTCTCATGTCTTTCTGTAGTAATAGTTCTAGAGATTAATTGTCCTCTCCAACTTATGACAATATCTATAATATAAGAATAACAACAGCTAACAGGGTGTGTTTTGCGGAAATTTTTTTTCGGTCTACTTCCCTTTCTGTTGACCACATAATAATGATCATAAATAAAGGAGAGGCTTGTGTTTTAGGGACGGAAGGCAAAAAGGACATCATTCAACACAGTGGGAGTCAGAGCGTTAAATGACACTGTGTGAGTGAGTGTGTGGTGTGAGATTGCTTTAGTTTATGTGAGCATGTACATGCACAGTATGTAGAAATGTTTGTGCACGCTGAGGTGGGCTTCTGTTTGTTTGGCGTGTGTGTGTGGATTTGTGTGAGTGGCTGTGTGGCTGCAGTCTGCCATCTCAGTGCTGATCATTCCATGGGGCTCTGAGGTGTTAGCAGCATTCTAACACTAGATGGACTAGGCATTATAGGTCAGTGCATAGAAGCATTAGAAGGAATTCCTCTATTCCAGTTCACAAAGTAGCAACTCTAGCTAACCGTTTGGCTGGAGTAGATTCTGTATTTGCGTCAATTACCGATCTTGTGAGCTTATGTTGCCTCCACTAACCTAAGACGATAGTGGCCAGATGACTTTCAGTCCGGGTCTGCTTAGAGGTTCTTATTAGTTTTTACCTTGTGCATAACAGCTGGAAAACATTCCTAGAAAAGGGGGGGGGGAAGACTTGACCCTTGCTGATATGTACATGTACTGTAGCTGGCCACTGGGTGACAATCATAGGCTAGTGTAGCCCATACACTTCCAGTTCTCCTTGTACTCATCTCATTTCTTCCAAGGATTGAAAATAATCAAACAAGAATCAGTCAACCTTTTTATTCTTGTGGCCTTTTTGCTCCCCCTGATGCCCCCTGGTGTCCACCAAAGACCCACTCCATTTACTAGGCCGTGTTGAAGAGAGGGGGAGTGTACAAGGGAATACATAGAGGTGGAATCAGGGCAGGGCAATTCCTGTGATATCCTAAGAGAGAGAGCGATTAAAAGAGAAACACAGAGGCCAGGGCGCACCTAGGTCAGTACCCTCAACAGAGCTTCTTGATGTAAAATCAAAACAACCCCTCCCCCTTATCACTGAAAAGAAATAGAAAAGGACAACGAGAATCGAGTCGGAAGACGCAGGAAGATCACGCCACACTGAGGTCTGCTTGTCTCAAACAGCTTTTTGTGTTCCAATGGCTCCTCTCCTCCCTCCTTCTGCGCTCTGGGGTAGAGAAGCGAGGGGTGACGTAATTGTCTCCCACAGAGCTGGTGTTGAAGGGCCGGGCTTAGCAGCATCCATTGTGCCGCTCTGAGTTTCCCAAAATCCTGTGGGACTTGTTCTGAGTCTTTCTCTGTGTGATTTATGTGTTACACTACGTCGTTTGTTTTGTTTAACTTTTTCTACCCCCTTTAGCTAGCTAGACAGAAGTGGATTCAGCAAAAGGGGGTTTGAGTACACTTATAAATATGAATGTAATTTTAGTCAAGAGGTTATTGAAGTACAAAATGCATTAAAGGTAGATGGATTTAAGTTTTTCTGACTTGAAAAATAACATGTGTAAAGAGCCGTTATGAAGTCTGGTATGTGTGCGTGATGACACCGCTGCGCTGTTAGTTTCGGGCAGGAGGACGAAAACACAGCGTGACCAACCACAGCGGCTTGTGGCCTCCACATGGGTGTGGTTACAAGCCGTGTTTTGTGCGTCTCTGTGTGTGCGTCTCTGTGTGTGTGTGTGTGTCTGTATGTGTGTGTGTCTGTATGTGTGCGTGTCTGTGAAAAAAGGAAAACCAAAACAAATCTGCTTCTATGCAGCATATCCCTCGGGGTATAGGGACCTCCTGTATTTTTTTGTTGCCTTTTTCAGTGGTTTTGTTCCAGAGCCCCGCTCCCTACCCAGCTGTAAAGACTCTCCATACTATACCTATCTGAGGCCATTTCACTAGATGGACATATTTGTGTTTTGTAAAAAAACATTTCTTATGCCATAGTTTTGCCATCATGGCAATCAATCATTGACCAAACGCCTGCAAATAGACATAAAGAGTGAATTCTGGTGATGATATACACATTTACGGTATGTTTAGTAAGTTCAAATGAATTGTGCCTCCACTTTGATATATTTAAACGTAGCTGTATTGAAATGGTGAGGATCTTCCAGATTTCAGACAAGGTGCCTTTTTATGGCATAAGAAATGTAAATGGTATATGGCTGAATTGATCAAAATGGCAAATAACTTGAAGAAAAATCATGTGGTTTAGTGTGTTATGAAGCTGGTCATAGTTCTAGGGGTGTGGCTAAACTGTTTGGTATTGTGTATGTTTAGGTAAATACTGTGCCATAGTTTTTAGAGTCCACAAATACGTTATCGTTTTTCTTTCTTCTTCAGATATATAAAATGTTTTAATGTTGCCTGATAACGTTGTCTCTGGATTTGATACAAAGGCTTGTAGCCACAGCTCTCCCAAAGTCCCTTGTTTTTGTTTTCTTCCATGGTTCTTCTCCTCTTTCCCCACTTTCTCCCCTCTCCCCCTTTTTCTCCTCGCTACAATCAAACAAATAAAGTATTAACCTGATGACCCAACAGAAAGAAAGTCTCATGTCTGATTTGAACATCTGCTCTGAGATAAAAACCAATATGCCCTATTATTTTAATAATTGTATAACGTGTTCCTCAACATTCTTTGTTCTCCACAAGGTGAAGTGGTGGTTGGTACTGTGTTTGTTGAAGCAAATTCAAAGTACATTACATAACAATAGCTGGTGTTGGACTACACCCCCAGGCAATACAGTTAGCTGTTACTGGTGTTGTAATACCCCCCCAAGCAATACAGTTAGCTGTTACTGGTGATGTACTACACCCCCCCCCCCCCCAAGCAATACAGTTAGCTGTTACACTTGTAAGGGGGGGGGGGGGGGGGGGGGGGGTTCACTAAAGGGAGATATTGGGTTAAATCTGGGAAATGATAGGGTTATTAGGAGGTAGTTAGTGAAAGGTTTTGCTTGAGGTCGGAAGTGATTTCCAAAACCAATGTCTATTTCCGAGAAAACATTTTCTTTTTTGAAACCCCTCTTAAGAGTGACACTCGGTGGCACAAGAAGGAACTGCCACATATTCTATCCCTGTAATGGAAAACCATTGAACTCTTCTCCAGTTAAACTCTGTGGAATCCAGGTTGTCTGGTTACTAAAGGAGCTTTCCAGTAATACACTGACAGGGGCTAAATGTTAATCAGGGCATTTGACTTGCACTTCAGGAGTAGAACAGTGCTGATCTGGAAGTGGTCTCAACCACCAATCACTAAAGCAACTTACAGATGTATTTTTAGATGCACTAAAGAAATCATCTCATATTTTGCAAAAACCTGGGTGGTGATATCATAGCAAGATGTCGGGACACTGTGACATAAAACCAATCAGACAAAATATTTTGTGATGATAGCTTTCCCATTGCAGGGTGTGAGGGAGGAGTACTCTTGTTAGCATCACCGTACCCTTCCTGGAAGCGGAGTGCATCCTCAGATGACCACACAGGAATGCTGCAACGTAAAGACACCCCCAACACACTTAGCCACTGCTCTCTCAGCCAACAGTCAAGGTCTCAGTGGAACTGGCGAACAACCATCAGTCGACTAAGGTCACTCCCCAGCCAACACTGATGTCTGTTTGTCCATCGCTAGAGATGTAGTGGTGGATCACATCAGCCAGAGGGGACTCATCAGTTGCGATCTCATTATCAGTTGATAAAAATCATGCCAGGATCTCTTGTACTGTAAGAGAATATTCAGTATTGACAAGTTGGTCTCGGATGGTCGATGAGCTCATCGATATTTTGTCCTGCGTTCTGTTGGTTTGCTCTGTCACTGACACTATTCGGCTTTCCCCCTCCTCTCTTTCTATTTGTCTCTCGCTTTATTTTCACTGGTTTTCTGCATTTCACATTGCACTTTCCCTCTCTCTCACCCACAAACAGTTACATTTCACATTTTAGTCATTTAGCAGACGTTCTTATCCAGAGTGACTTACAGTTAGACATAAACAAGCAACAAATACTCCTGGGAATCAATAGCCGCTGCAGATGTTGGCATACACTACATTACCAAAAGTATGTGGTCACCTGCCCGTCGAACATCTCATTCCAGAATCACGGGCATTAATATGGAGTTGGTCCCCCCTTTGCTGCTGTAACAGCCTCCACTCTTCTGGGAAGGCTTTCCACTAGATGTTGGAACATTGCTCCGGGGACTTGCTTCCATTCAGCCACAAGAGCATCAGTGGGGTAGGGCACTGATGTTGGGCGATTACGCCTGGCTCGCAGTTGGCGGTCCAATTCATCCCAAAGGTGTTCGATGGGGTTGAGGTCAGGGCTCTGTGCAGGCCAGTCAAGTTCTTCCACACCGATCTCAACAAACCATTTCTGTATGGACCTCGCTTTGTGCACGGTGGCATTGTCATGCTGAATGAGGAAAGGGCCTTCCCCAAACTGTTGCCACAAAGTTGGAAGCACAGAATCGTCTAGAATGTCATTGTATGCTGTAGCGTTAAAATTTCCCTTCACTGGAACTAAGAGGCCTAGCCCAAACCATGAAAAACAGCCCCAGACCATTATTTCTCCTCCACCAAACTTTACAGTTGGCACTATGCATTCGGGCAGGTAGTGTTCTCCTGGTATCCACCAAACCCAGATTCGTCCGTCGGACTGCGAGATGGTGAAGCGTGATTCATCACTCCAGAGAACGCGTTTCCACTGCTCCAGAGAACAGTTATTGTGCTGATGTTGCTTCCAGAGGCAGTTTGGAACTCGGAAGTTAGTGTTGCAACCGAGGACAGACGATTTTTACGCGCTACACCCTTCAGCACTCGGCGGTCCCGTTCTGTGAGTTTGTGTGGCCTACCACTTCGTGAGCCGTTGTTGTTCCTAGACGTTTCCACTTCACAATAACAGCGCTTACAGTTGACCGGGGCAGCTCTAGCAGGGCAGAAATTTGACGAACTGACTTGTTGGAAAGGTGGCATCCTATGACGGTGCCACGTTGAAAGTCACTGAGCTCTTCAGCAAGGCCATTCTACTGCCAATGTTTGTCTATGGAGATTGCATGGCTGTGTGCTCCATTTTATACACCTGTCAGCAACGGGTGTGGCTCAAATAGCCAAATCCACTAATTGGAAGGGGTGTCCACATACTTTTGTGTACATAGTGTATTTGCCCTATGGTCACTTTGAAGCACAGGAGGTTGGTGGCATCTTAATTGGGGAGGATGGGCTCGTGGTAATGGCTGGAGCGGAATAGTGGAATGATATCAAATACAATAAACACATGGTGTCCAGGTGTTTGATTCCATTCCATTTGCTCCGTTTCAGCAATTATTATGAGCCGTCCTCCCCTCAGCAGCCTCCACTGGTTTGAAGGTAGGTCTCTGGTGGGCTCACGTAGCTCTGGTTCACTCCAAGTCAGGCGTCAGATCACTAGCCCCACCACTACTACCTCAGGGCTAGTTCAGAGTGAGTGGAATGGATCAACTGCTGTGTAGTTCTGGATACTGGTAGAGGGGCTCGTTGAAGACGATGTCAGGTGGACTGCTGCTGGATTTATGTCTCACTTTGGTGGGATGGGAAGCTGAGGGACAAGGGAACCAACGCGGTAATAATGTTTTGTTGTGACGTCAGAGGTCAGCCTGTGAGAGAAGTAAGAGCTCAGGGATGATAGACGAGTTTCCCCACTATTAATGCTGCATTCATAACCATGTGGGAAGGTGGTATTCTAACACATACGACTGGGAAAAATCCACTTGAACGCCCCTCCAACTGGTAATTACTAGTGGGAAACTCAACTATCATCCCTCAGCTCCGACTTCTCCCACATGCTGACCTCTGACGTCATCTACTAAGGCAGGGGTGTCAAACTCATTCCACGGAGAGCCTAGTGTCTGCAAGTTTTGGTTATTATTTAAATTAAGACAACCAGGTGAGGGGAGTTCCTTACTAATCAGTGACCTTAATTCATCATCAAGTACAAGGGAGGAGTGAAAACCCGCAGACACTCGGCCCTCCGTTGAATGAGTTTGACACGTGTACTAAGGAAATTACCTCCATAACAACATTTTTGGCAGTTAAATGTAACAACAAAACATTATTTATAAAGAGCAATCTATTAGTATGGTTTTGTAACACTATGATTGGTTTACAAGTTGATGGTTGACACAGCTTGTGAATGCATTCAACTGGTATTTAAGACTTCACAACTGGTAATTATTACCTTCCCACGTGGTTATGAACTCAGCATAATTACGAGTTTGGAGGGGCTTTCAAGGTGATTTTTCCCAGTTGTATGTGGTAAATACCATCTTCCCAGAAATAGTTCCCCTGAAAAATAAGGCGAAAGAGAATGTGCGTGCCAAGGTAATACAAACCTTTTATTTTTTTGTGGGGGTAGATTAGCTTTAATTTTGCAGATAGATTGTAACTTCCATCATTGTAATTGTCTGCATCACTTCCAATCCCCCATATGTTTTTTCTTCTTCTTGCAAATATATATACAGTGGGGAGAACAAGTATTTGATACACTGCCGATTTTGCAGGTTTTCCTACTTACAAAGCATGTAGAGGTCTGTAATTTTTATCATAGGTACACTTCAACTGTGAGAGACGGAATCTAAAACAAAAATCCAGAAAATCACATTGTATGATTTTTAAGTACTTAATTTGCATTTTATTGCATGACATAAGTATTTGATACATCAGAAAAGCAGAACTTAATATTTGGTACAGAAACCTTTGTTTGCAATTACAGAGATCTTACGTTTCCTGTAGGTCTTGACCAGGTTTGCACACACTGCAGCAGGGATTTTGGCCCACTCCTCCATACAGACCTTCTCCAGATCCTTCAGGTTTCGGCGCTGTCGCTGGGCAATACGGACTTTCAGCTCCCTCCAAAGATTTTCTATTGGGTTCAGGTCTGGAGACTGGCTAGGCCACTCCAGGACCTTGAGATGCTTCTTACGGAGGTACTCCTTAGTTGCCCTGGCTGTGTGTTTTGGGTTGTTGTCATGCTGGAAGACCCAGCCACGACCCATCTTCAATGCTCTTACTGAGGGAAGGAGGTTGTTGGCCAAGATCTCGCGATACATGGCCCATCCATCCTCCCCTCAATACGGTGCAGTCATCCTGTCCCCTTTGCAGAAAAGCATCCCCAAAGAATGATGTTTCCACCTCAATGCTTCACGGTTGGGATGGTGTTCTTGGGGTTGTACTCATCCTTCTTCTTCCTACAAACACGGCGAGTGGAGTTTAGACCAAAAAGCTCTATTTTTTGTCTCATCAGACCACATGACCTTCTCCCATTCCTCCTCTGGATCATCCAGATGGTCATTGGCAAACTTCAGACGGGCCTGGACATGCGCTGGCTTGAGCAGGGGGACCTTGCGTGCGCTGCAGGATTTTAATCCATGACGGCGTAGTGTGTTACTAATGGTTTTCTTTGAGACTGTGGTCCCAGCTCTCTTCAGGTCATTGACCAGGTCCTGCCGTGTAGTTCTTGGCTGATCCCTCACCTTCCTCATGATCATTGATGCCCCACGAGGTGAGATCGTGCATGGAGCCCCAGACCGAGGGTGATTGACCGTCATCTTGAACTTCTTCCCTTTTCTAATAATTGCGCCAACAGTTGTTGCCTTCTCACCAAGCTACTTGCCTATTGTCCTGTAGCCCATCCCAGCCTTGTGCAGGTCTACATTTTTATCCCTGATGTCCTTACACTGCTCTCTGGTCTTGGCCATTGTGGAGAGGTTGGAGTCTGTTTGATTGAGTGTGTGGACAGGTGTCTTTTATACAGGTAACGAGTTCAAACAGGTGCAGTTAATACAGGTAATGAGTGGAGAACAGGAGGGCTTCTTAAAGTAAAACTAACAGGTCTGTGAGAGCCGGAATTCTTACTGGTTGGTAGGTGATCAAATACTTATGTCATGCAATAAAATGCAAATTAATTACATAAAAATCATACAATGTGATTTTCTGGTTTTTAGTCTCTCACAGTTGAAGTGTACCTATGATAAGAATTACAGACCTCTACATGCTTTGTAAGTAGGAAAACCTGCAAAATCAGCAGTGTATCAAATACTTGTTCTCCCCACTGTATATATATATATATATATATATATATATATATATATACATGCATACACATACATATACACATACATATAAATACATATACATACATGTATATACATATCCTTTTAAAAATATATATTTCCCTTTATTACTTTCCAACCCCATCACCCCTTCCCTAATTGGAGTAAACTAGTGAACAACAACGCTTAGGCCTCTACTTCCAGCTTATACATAGTATAATACAAACATTACTTGAGGCCTCTTTACACTACACTAGTTTGACGAAGCATACCAGTTCCACAACACATATTTTTGTAGTGTAAAGAGACGAATCTGGCTTCAAATCTGTCTAGTTGGACAGAATGTAAACAAACATACACCATCAGAGTCTTACAGAAAAAGATTGTAGCCAGAGTGCAGGATAACTGCAGTTATTCTGCAATTACTGCGTCCAAAATACCACAGTCGACTGCAGTTACTGCACTTTTACTGCAGTTTCAAAACTGCAATCTTTTTTTTGTAAGGGAGGTATCAAAGTCTATCGTTGTAAGAAGCACAAACACAGTCTTCTGTACCAATGGAGAATGCTGCGACTAGGCTACTGTAAAGCACTGGAGGAGATGGATGCTTCTCTGAGGGAGATGGCTTGCGACTGGCAGTTTGTGTAAAGTGTCTAACTCTTATTACAAGGTACTGCAAAAGCAGTCATGAAGTGGCAAGAATATGCAGTTAGTACCGATAAAAATAATCTGAAACAACACCAACCCACAAGGCTAAACGGAAGTGTTCAACTAACGTTAAACTGAACTATTTGTTTCATACAAACACATTGCCAGTTTCACAATGTGGATACTGAAGAACATCAAAACTCAGCTCAGAAAAACGCGCCCATGATTGTTTCACTGCAATAATACCTGACATTAACAATATTCCAGGGGGACACTCTTATCTTCTGTCTTCTGTCCTCCCTGTTGCACACAACAAGCTTCCATTCCCCCTGTCACAACGGGATTTATGTCTGATTTAAGATGAATTCGTCAACCCTGTTACGGTCAACCCTGTTACGGTCAACCCTGTTATACTTTATTTGGCACTTAAAAGGCACTTACTATAGTACTTTTTTTATTATGTTCAACATGCATATTTGTGACAGAATGTTAAAATGAGGTTAAATAAAACATAAATTTTTCACAAAGTTACACTACCCAAAGATATACTCATTTAGTGGAACGACCCTTTAACATCATTACAGGGTGTCACTCTGTCTTCTGTCTTGCTTTAGCTTTCTTGCAGCACTTGCGGAAGCAGAAAATGCATGTTTTAATGGATACAACTATGACGAGTGCCACTATGGCGAGCAGGGCAGCTGCCACATCTAGACAGTGGTACTGGTACCAGCTCAAGTTATGGGCCTCCACCCTCAGGTGCTTAGCCCCTTTGTTACGCATCACAAATTCGATCCAGAACACAGCTGTATCCAAGGGTTTCATTGGTTGGTCGTGGTGGATTCTTGACAGCCTCATCATGCTTTCTTTATACCTGGTGAAAGGGGAATAGAGACAGTTATTTCACTGCACATTTTCAACAGTTGCCCAAAAGGTTGGTGTGAGGAAACTAGTTAGTGAGGAAACCAGTTGTATATTTGTGTCTTACGATGGATCATTGATCACACTGTTGAGGCCATCCACAAGGTCTTTGGATGTCATCTTGTTGAAGTCCACCATTACAGCAGCTCCCTTGTTTTTCATGTGGCTGATATTATCTGGCTGGTCAGCGAACAGAGGGATGCCCACCATTGGGACTCCATGGTAAATGGATTCATATAGTCCATTAGTCCCACCGTGGGTGACGAAGGCTTTGGTCTTTGGATGACCTTTTTGATACAACACAATGAGAGGAAGTAGGGTTGTTGAACACTGTTGTACGCAAGGACTGTTTATATGTTTATGACCGTTATAAAGAAAGACATATCACCAAGTAAATCATTTTGTGGAATCCAGTCATAAACTCTTGTGTTGGGGGCAAGAGTCTCTGGTTTCTCCCCACTGTATCTCCACAGCACCTATGGTGAGAAAACAGGAATATGAATGAGAATCTGCAATGAAACGGTACTCATAACCAAAAGCTATGGTTTTTTGAAGGAGCCCTGATGGCCAAATTCAATATCTCTGACATAATTATATGTAAAGGAAAACTGTAAACTAGCTTGTATGTTTGAATTGTACAAATGGATCAAATATCGGGATCAGGGAGACGATGACACCTCTGCTTATAACAATGTAACAAAGCTATTTAAAAAAAGCAACAGACTAACCTTCTGTGGTATTTGTCCCAATGCAGTGGCTATGGTGTTTCCCCTCTCTTTAGTTAGGTTCTTGATCATGGACCCCAGTGAAAACACCACGATTCCATCATCTCCTGAACTCTGCACAAACTCCTCCATGGCCTGAAATTCAACACAATCTACTTAATTGTGATTCAATGATATCAGCCCAATAGACTGACTTGTTTCAGTATCTTGTAAGACAGTTGATATGTTTGTGTTTAAAAGCCTTACTTCTGAAAGTGGCTTTGCAGGTTTGCAGTGAAGGCCTCCCACAAATTTAAAGTTGGGAAGGAAAGGTCGAGGATACTCAAAGTCCCAGTAGGTCCGTATCAACCAGATATCTGCCTTCCCCAAGATCTCGCATAAAGTTGTAGGTCTTCCTGATAAATGTCGAGATGCATTATGAAAGAGACGCAGTACTGCTAAATAAGTAGTCCACAAAACCTATACAAACTAATCAGTAATTATATTGTTACAACTTTTACAGCGGATTCTCTCTCAGAATATAACAGTTATTGTCCTAAAAAAGCCATTGTGTATAATAAGCATTCATTAACAAACATGTTGCAGATTTGCACACAGAACAGCTTTAGTATAGGCCTAGTCCTATATATAACATCAATGGGAAAAGCACTGCTTCAGTCAGAGCTCTGTCAAAGGAGTGCCTAACTTGATTTTGCTTATCCACTTAATCAAAGATATACACGAATAAACCAGTTTCAACTGTTCTGCCTGCGGTTACGAAACCCCTACCTGTCCCAGACCTGCTGTTTTAAACTCTTAATGATCGGCTATGAAAAGCCAACTGAGAGACCTGAGCCCTAGGACCATACGTCGGGACTACCGGCCGTGGTGACTCCTTGCTGTCCCCAGTCCGCCTGGCCTTGCTGCTATTCCAGTTTCAACTGTTCTGCCTACGGTTATGGAACCCCTACCTGTCCCAGACCTACTGTTTTCAACTCTTAATGATCGGCTATGAAAAGCCAACTGAGATTTATTCCTGATTATTATTTGACCATGCTTGTCACTTATGAACATTTTTGAACATCTTGGCATGGTTCTGTTATAATCTCCACCCGGCACAGCCAGAAGAGGACTGGCCACCCCTCATAGCCTGGTTCCTCTCTAGGTTTCTTCCTAGGTTTTGGCCTTTCTAGGGAGTTTTTCCTAGCCACCGTGCTTCTACACCTGCATTACTAGCTGTTTGGGGTTTTAGGCTGGGTTTCTGTACAGCACTTCGAGATATTAGCTGATGTAAGAAGGGCTATATAAAATAAAATTGATTGAAAATTGATTGATAAACCAAGTTATGATATTACATTCTTCTTGTAGATATTCCAATCTTTATAAAAACCAAACCTGAAATTGAGCTTGTGGTGCAAGGACCCTTCCAACTTTTTGACAAATTCTGATCAACTTACCCTTGATCCCACTGTAGTACTTATCCATGGTCACTAGGCAGTGTATATAGAACAGGCTAGAATGCATCATATACATAACAAAATTGTGGACCCGCTCAAAGAAACTCATTTGGTCTGAGTACGTCAAAGGGGGGGTAGGAACAAAAGAGGGGGGTGCTGGTATCTGCCCACAGTGCCTCTCCATAACCAAGCCAAATGAAAACCTCAACGAGATAATGAGAGGTACATTTAGAGCATCTGCCATTAAGTCACTGCATGGCATCATTGGATCAGAAAGGACTGCGTCAAACTCCCACTGTCTCAGTGTGTGCATAAGCTCTTCATTGTGAAACATGGCATCACACATGTTGAGTTGTAGCGCTGTCATTCTCCCCAACACGTCCCGGATCTTCAGGCCCACCTGCAACATTGAGGCGTTCTGAGCCTCGTACATCCAGAAGTTTAGGAAGTCCTCCTGGAGAGACTCCAAATCATGTCTCTCAAAAGGAACATTATACACCTTGAAGCTGAAACCCTCTGGTTTGGTATAGTTGACAGAAGGTGAGGCAGAGCAAATCAGCACTGTGACACTATGGTTCCGCTCCACTAGTTTCTCCAGGATCACACGCATGTTGAGCCAGTGACTGAACTCCCCAGGAAAGACCAGCACATTACCACTGTGTGCACCCTGACACCCACAGAGAATGAGGACTGCCACGGACAGCAACAACCTCCCAGACACCATTGTAGAAGAGTAGATAGAGACAGAGAGGACCTCTATGCGTTCAAGGCACCCACATACAGGTTTTGACTAGAATTGTGCAAGATCAACCCCGACTATAAAGGAGTAATGTGTTCTCCTCTGCAGTCTCAAAGTCTATAGGCTACTATAGGTCAGAGATAACCATGGTGCACAGTTGCACACTGCACAGTTGTGTAAAATTTGCCACTGTCTTTCTTCAATGAGGCAGAAGTGCATGTCTAAAACGGCGTATACTCGTTCACCTTTCGGTTTTTGTAACTTCTTCCAGAGTGGTATAGAATAACAGGGTGTCAGGTTTACAATGGGGTATTATAATCGAAGTTTGATGGATCTTTATTGCGTACTTCTGACAGCAAGAGCTGTCTGACCAAAGTAATTTTAGGAAGGTACTTGTGCGACCAGTCTCTATCCAGTAGATGGCTGTGTTCCTTTCTCTATTGTGGCAATGCTTTTATGTTGATTTCGTTCCTTGACAGCTAGCAGCAGAACGTTCAAAGTACTTAGTACGTTCATACGTTCACATACTTGTTGTTGTATAAAAAGACAATTATAGCGAGTTGTGACTATTTAAAAAACTCAGTTAACATCTGTCTTGAACCAACTTTTGAAAATTGTGGTCGTGGAACTACTGAGAATTGTAGAGGATGGTGCATTTGAACTTCGGCTGGAGGTGTCCAAGATTAAACTTGAGAACGAACAGTGGTATAAAGTACTTAAGTAGAAATAGTTTTTTGTGGTATCTGTACTTTACTTTAATATTTATATTTTTGACAACTTTTACTTCAATACATCCCTAAAGAAAATAGTGTACTTTTTGCTCCATACATTTTCCCTGACACCCAAATGTACTCGTTACATTTTGAATGCTTAGCAGGACAGGAAAATTGTCAAATTCATGCACTTATCAAGAGAACAACCCTGGTCCTCCCTACTGCCTCTGATCTGGCAGACCCACTAAACACAAATGCTTGGTTTCTAAATTATGTCTGAGTTTTGGAGTGTCCCCCTGGCTATCGATAAATAAATAAAAAACTAAAATTGTGCCATCTGGTTTGCTTAATATAAGTAATTTGAAATGATTTGTACTTTTAACTTTTACTTTTGATACTTAAGAATATTTTAGCAATTACATTTACTTTTGATACTTAAGTATATTTAAAACCATTCTATTAAAGTATCTTTACTTTCAACTCAAGTATGACAATTGGGTACTTTTTCCACCACTGAGAATGAAGCACTGAAAATTTAGAATGAATCTAACAAAAATAAGTTACAAAGTTTGGAAGCAGAACTGTCGACAGCAGGGGATCGACAATGTTCCATTTGTCATCTTCATGTTGGAATTCCAGCTCCTGGTAAAGGTAGCTAGCTACAGTGGCTTGCGAAAGTATTCACCGCCCTTGGCATTCTATATGCGTGGCACATCTAGCCACTGGGATTTTTGCCCGTTCTTCAAGGCAAAACTGCTCCAGCTCCTTCAAGTTGGATGGGTTCCGCTGGTGTACAGCAATTTTTAAGTCATACCACATATTCTCAATTGGATTGAGGTCTGGGCTTTGACTAGGCCATTCCAAGACATTTAAATGTTTCCCCTTAAACCACTCGAGGGTCATTGTCCTGCTGGAAGGTGAACCTCCGTCCCAGTCTCAAATCTCTGGAAGACTGAAACAGGTTTCCCTCAAGAATTTCCCCGTACCTGCCGATGAAAAACATCCCCACAGCAAGGATGATGTTCTCGGGGTGATGAGAGGTGTTGGGTTTGCGCCAGACATAGCGTTTTCCTTGATGGCCAAAAAGCTCAATTGTAGTCTCATCTGACCAGAGTACCTTCTTCCATATGTTTGGGGAGTCTCCCACATGCCTTTTGGCGAACACCAAACGTGTTTGCTTATTTTTTTCTTTAAGCAATGGCTTTTTTCTGGCCACTCTTCTGCGAAGCCCAGCTCTGTGGAGTGTATGGCTTAAAGTGGTCCTATGGACAGTGTCACGGTCGTTGAGAGATGGGTCAGACCAAGGTGCAGCGTGGTATGCGAACATGTTTATTCAACTGAATACACACTGACAAAACAACAAAAGTAAACGAAACGTGACGTCGGAAGGCTATACACAAACAAGCCAAACTCACCGAAACACAAACAAGATCCCACAACCCAGGCAGGAAAACTGGCTGCCTAAGTATGATCCCCAATCAGAGACAACGAGCGACAGCTGCCTCTGATTGGGAATCACACCCGGCCAAACATAGAAATACTAGACTCTAAACAGAGAATCTAAACAGAAAACTCACACCCTGACCCAACCAACAAGAGTTCTCTCGATCAGGGCGTGACAGACAGATACTCCAATCTTCACTGTGGAGCTTTGCAGCTCCTTCAGGGTTATCTTTGGTCTCTTTGTTGCCTCTCTGATTAATGCCCTCCTTGCCTGGTCCGTGAGTTTGGTGGGCGGCCATCTCTTGGCAGGTTTGTTGTGGTGCCATATTCTTTCAATTTTTTAAATAATAGATTTAATGGTGCTCCTTGGGATGTTTAAAGTTTCGGATATTGTTTTATAACCCGACCCTGATCTGTTGGGTTATACAACTTTGTCCCAGACCTGTTTGGAGAGCTCCTTGGTCTTCATGGTGCCGCTTGCTTGGTGGTGCCCCTTGCTTAGTGGTGTTGCAGACTCTGGGGCCTTCTTCTTCTTCAGTGGGGTTTATCGGCGGTTGGCATCCAACATTATGGTGCATTACCACCACCTACCGTACTGGAATGTGGGCCAGAGACAGGGAGAAACTAAATCCTACCTGCCAACGCTGTTTCTCTTAAAAAAGATAACAAAATATTTGAAACTATATCTAATGACGTTCTGCTCAATATACTCTTTAAACTAATTTCCTGTATCCCCTTCTCCCTCATACTAAATCTCATCCTCTCTCTTTCCCTCTGATACTGCCCACACTGTAGCAATACATGCTCCACAGTCTCTATTTCCTGACAATAATCACACTTTCCTGATGGCTGCTTTCCTATCACATTTAATGTCTTATTCAACTGGCTGTGTCCCACCCTTAATCTTGTAACAATAGCCTGCTCTCTTCTGTCCCTTCCTGCCGTCCCTCCCCTCCCCGACTTTCCTCTGTACCTGAAATAAATGCCTTCCCTTATTATCTCTATTCCACTGCTCCTGCCATCTCTGCACCATCACTGTATATATCAGTCTTTTTGCCTCTGCCTTGCTCATTGACACTTCAACATCAACATCCCCACTACTAAGTGCTTGTTTAGCCTGTTCATCTACAGCCTCGTTCCCCTCCACCCCCACATGGGCTGGAACCCAAGTAAATCTTATCTGAATACCCATCTGTTTAATCCTGCCATGGGTTTGTAGCACCTCATAAAGCAGGTCTTGTCTGCTACGTGAGCTAAAGGACTGGAGGCTCATTAAAACTGCACTTGAGTCAGAGCAAATAACTATTCTATCTGGCTTAACTTCCTCCACCCACTGCAATGCCAACAGTATGGCCATCAGCTCCGCCGTATATACAGCCAGATGATCTGTAATACGTTTCCTGACTTCCACCCCACACTCCTGCACTACAAATGCTGACCCAGTACGTCCTGTCCTTGGATCTTTTGAACCATCAGTGTAAATGGCCACAAAATCCTGATACACAGTTTCCAGAAGTCTCTTAAAGCAATCAGCTGGATCAACCCACTCCCTATCTTTCTGTAGTCTCTCCAACACTTCTAGATCAACTACTGGAGGCGGGAGTAGCCATGGTGGATTTACAGGAATAACTACCGTTGGACTAAACTCCCTTCCATACTGTTATAGTGTGGACACTATATAAATAATTACATTGAATATGTGTTGTAACTTGCCTGCAGTATAGTATGATTGCTTTTCATGTGTGCATGGTTATTATTGGCATTGACCGTGACCTTTCCCCTTTGATGATGTCATCACAAAGTCAGATCTGTACAATGTGATTCTACCACAGGTTGAGTGGGCTGTATCATTCTGCTGTTTTTGTACCGTTTGTACATGGCTGTACACCTTTTATTTATTGGGTTGAAAGTAAAGGAAAGTAATATTGAAATGCGTGTGGGCATTCCTTGTCAAGTTACTACATCTTTTTGGCGACGAGGATAAAACTTTATCAACTTGTACAGGGCGATGTGCTAGCTAGCTAAGAAACAGAGGAGGTAGTCAGTTAGCTAGCTAGCTTAATGAGCGACGGAGAGCAGGTGCCGCTGGACGGAAACGCCGACGGGGACAATCAGCAGCAAGTGAAAATCGCTAACGAGGATCAAGGACAAGTTGGCGTTATAATGGCTATGTTGGGGACTATCACTGAGTTTGTGGAAGAGAACAAGGACTGGACGGAATATGTGGAAAGGTTGGGACACTTTTTCTTGGCAAATGGAATCAGAGATGAGGCTAAACAACGCTCTATTCTCTTGAGTGATTCCATGTGTGGGGCTAAAACCTACAAGTTAATGAGGAATTTGGCTACACCACGGAGACCTGGAGAAATTCCTTTTGGGGATCTAGTTGCTCTCGTTCAGACTCACCACAATCCAAAGCCTTCAGTGATTGTCCAGAGGTTCAAGTTTAACTGCCATTTTCGGAAAACAGGTCAGTCTGTTGCTAACTTTGTTGCTGAGTTACGTGAACTCTCTGAACATTGTGAGTTTAGGGCTATGTTAGAGGACATGCTCCGTGACAGATTAGTCTGTGGCATTAATGAGGACAGCATACAGCGCCGGTTGCTGGGGGAAGCCACACTGACTTTCAAGAGAGCATTGGAACTATCTCAAGGGATGGAGATGGCCGCTAGTAATGTGAAAAATATTCAAAAGGCCAACAGTGGAAGTTGTGCAGTGCATCAGGTGACAAAAGGTGGCAGGAAAAAGGAGAAAAGCAGTGGAATGTTTCAGATGTGGGGGAACACATTATGCTAACAACTGTAAATTCATGGATACTGTCTGTCACAATTGCAACAAAAAGGGACATTTAGCTAAAAAATGCAGGGGTCCTAGGAGCAAGCCAGTGGGTGGGCGGGCTGGGCAAGTTC